CCACCAGAAAATGACGCTGCAGCTATGATTTATAATCAATAGCTTATCACTTCTCCAGCCGCCTTATCTGAGAGCCCCATTGATCATTAATGCCAAACAGCCAAAGTTCTCTTTTTGTTCCAAGTTTGAATAATCATCACAACAGTTTGTGTTTTTCAGCATCGTGTGAAGCTTTTGGGTTAAAGTGATTGATTATAGGTTTCATAATGTTTCTTATAAAGTATCAGCTCAGTCGCAGAGCGAGTGCCGGTGTTGCACAATGTTCTGTGACCACACTGTAGGAGGCGCTGTTGCATTTTAACATAATGCTAACACAAAAACATAAGCTGTGCAGGGGGGAAACAAACGCAAATGGAAAATAAAGAAGCTTAACAAAGGATAAAAGTAATATCTGACCACTGATATCATAATATAGAATAATGTGTTGTTATACAGTGACTATTATACAGTTACAGAATATGATGGTGCTTAACATAAAATGTGACCAAACTGTAATTTAAAATACTAAATATTTAAACCGAACAGTTTTTGCAAACTTTCTCCTTCCTCCAATTAATAAAAAGCAATGTTCTAATATCAATAGTCACATATTTATTTTAAGTATTTAGTATTTTACTGTAAGTTACAGAGTAATTTATCATATTTCACAATATATGATAAGCACCGTCATATTCTGTGGTGTAAAACTGCAACAGCGCCTCCTACGCTCACAATATATGGTGGTCACAGAATGAGGTGTAGCACCGGCATGAGGATGGAGCAGACCCAGCAGGCTAACTCTGCTTCACCTTTCCACCTGACCGCTGGAGCAGGGAGGTGTTAATCCAGGGGCCTTCGGTCTGCCAGCGCAGCGCCTTACCCAGCTGTGGCCCCAGCCGTGGCCCCAGCCGTGGCCCCGGCGTTTTCGGAGCATGTTCAAAGTGCAGCCGGGCCCTGATGGATGAGTCCACTGTGACCCAGAGGCTGGCCGGCGGGGGGCCTGCAGGAAGAAAAGAGCGCCGTGCAGGATCTCTGCATCCTCTGCACATGCGCCTGCTGGCAGAGATATACGCGGCAGATATTCAGATCAAAGTTTACGGGCAGCTGGGAAACACGTGAGGGAATGCAGAGTGAGCAGTTGGAGATGTTCTGTCTCTTTGTTATGGTTTGTTTTTCATTTCTGGGCGAACAGATTCAGATGCTCTTTAAAGCAGATTTATTTCTAGTTGTGTGAAACTTTACTGACTCCATCTGAAACTAAAGGAACATTTGGTGTTCAGGTAGGATGGAAATGAGGAATTATGAAAGTAGTTTTAGAGCTTAGATATGGTGGAGAAAATCGGTCAACTTTCCAGAAATGAAGGGAACTACCAGAATTTGTCAGAGTTCGTTCATATTGTGGGGTTGGGGTCGAGTGAAAGGAGAAAATGAGAACAACACCTCAAAATAAATCTGTGGATAAAAGACAAAAGGTCAAATCACCAGTTTGGCAATATTTTGGATTTCAGCAATGAAAACTAATCAGTATTTATTTATTGACTGCTTGTATTATGATGTTTTAAGCCATATCATCCCAGACTAGTTGTTATGACTAATTGTAATGATTTGTCAGTACCCTGATTTTTTTTTTTTTTTACTTTCTAAAAGTCATGTGTTTTTGACCTGGTTGGCCTTCCATATGAACACTGGAGCTTCACTGAAGCGCGTCTTTACCTGATGACAGACTTGTCTCTCTTCATTACATTTTCTGTACTTTCTTTTAATGTCATTGTATTTTTTAGCATTTTACTTAGAAATATTTCTGTTCTATTGTGTTTTGTATTTGTTGTAAAGCGCTGGCCATGCAAGGTGTTGTTGGAAAATCCTATATAAATAAAGTTTGATTTGATTGACTTCCAATATGATTTCTCAGATGCAGATAAATCATTGATTGTATTTAATCTTTAATCTTTGTTTGTAACAGATCTAATCCATCATTAGTTTTTCAACAAGTGAGTTTGACTCAAACAGGAAGTAGTTCCCTCACTTCCTGTCATCAGGGCAGGTTTTGCACCTGGCACCAGAGACCTGTAACTTCCTCTGTGATATTAAATCTTCATCAGATTAGACAGGAGTGGTTGATTTGGTTACATTTTCTAAAAGCAAAACTTTTCTTCACATTCAGTCTCCTGCTGTTTGACAGAAGTTTGAATCAGGACCAGTTTATAGTTTTTGTGCTATTTTTCAGTTTTACCTCCAGCAGAAATATTTATCCTGTTTTTCAACCCCTCTTCCTCCTCCTCCTCCTCCTCATGTTTTTCATCGTACTGACTTGTTGGCTCCTGGCTTCCGTCAGCCTCCGTGGCCCGGAGGTGTGCATGCTGACCTCTGGTGACCTCTGAGTTAAGCTCGGTCCTTGAAGGGAGAAGCAGACTAAGACACATGTGACGGCATAATAATTGAACATGCTTCCATGTCATAGAAAAGCTTTTATTTCAATGTATTTAAAAGCACTGGTCGTTTTGGGGCTATATTAGAAAATCAGCATTTTTCTGTTCTTTATCTCATTATGGTCCTCCCGACTCTTCCAGCATCTCAGACCAAACTTAACCATAAAGCAGTCACCTTCATATCCTTAGCAACAGCATATCAGAACATATTTGACTTTATCGGGTAATATTGTTTTTATAACTTCAGATCTAGTCTTTTCTAGAGCTTCTGGACTCCAGAGAACCAGAGTGAGAACCGTTATCCACATGGAGAAAACTTGGAACAGCAGAGAACTTTCCTTCAACTCCATAATCCCAAAGCTATTGGGAAATGGGAAGTTTTGAAAGGTCTGCATCCAGTCCGATCTGGTTTAAAGCTGCAATAGCAAACTGAAGGTTTTGAAGTGGCCTATTCAAAGTCTGTTGTTAAATCCAGCTAAGAACTTAAATATGCTAGAAATATCTTCACTATCGATCCTTTCTCCAAACCAGACAGAGGCAAAGTTCATCCACATTGATGCTAAAATGGCAACAGAAGATCCAGTCTGTGGGGGTGAATAGGTTTTACTGCACTGCAGCTGCTTGGACTTGAACCTGAAGCCTTGTCTTTCAGTTCTGTAGTTGAGGAATCTAACCGGTAACTCAGATGAAACCTCCTTTGTCCAGTTGGCTTTGGTTTGGTTGGGGAGAGCAGTGCATTCTGGGAGGCCATGTGTCTGGGTTGGTCAGCAGAGGGGTGCATGGCTGCTGCCTGCCATCTTTTCTTGGGGCTTTTGGGTCTTTTATAGTTTGCCTGGCCAGTTACTACTGCCTCATAAAATCTGAAAGGCTGAAACACAATGCTGAGCAGGAGAGGGGTCACAGCTAAGGTCGCGCTGCTCCTGAAACCCGACGGCGGCTGGCGAAGCAGGAAGTTTCACTGAACAGCTGACAGACTGCAGCTATGCCTCCCTCTGCCCAGACTTTAAATAAGACCCTTATTATGCTGTGGTGTTTATGTGATTTCCATACCAGATCCAGTTTTCATATTCCTGTTTGCATGTTGCAGAGCGTCGTTTGAATGTTGACTCACGCCACTGCAATGCCTTGTCCACCTGCACAGTCCTACCTGAGCTTCCCTTTCTCTTCCAGATGTTTGTTTTCATTCTCACAAGAAGCTTCAGAGTACAGTAAATACTAGTCAGCAGGAGGGAGGGAGCGTGCAGATGATTCAAGATGGATGCTACATGAAGGCTTAGTGGCAACTGGTTCAAAGTTTGATGAGTCAGTTAGAGGCAGCTCCGCACCAACATGCTGTCACAAGTACGCTACGGCTGAAACAATTAATCGGATTTATTGTCATTAATTGAAATAATTGGCTAGTAATTTAGTAATTAAATAAATTGGAATATACAGAGTCTAAGACGTATAATTTATTCAAAGTAAAACACCCTCAGAACAATAACTAAACCAAAAATGTGCAACAGATTTATACTGTTACACATGTTGCACGTATATATATATATATATATATATATATATATATATATATATATATATATATATATAAATAAAATGTTGATCCTGGCCTGTATTGATATTCAGTCCAGCAGAAAGGCCTGAACGTTTCACATGTTGATGTTGAAGGATTTTCATCTGCAGATCCATCATTTGCTACAGATGATCAAATATTCACAAAAGGAATGCCGTTATTGGATTTTAGACAATAATATCTTAATTCCCTTATTTAAAAACATATGTAATTATTTGTTTAAATTTACTTATGTATGTTGAATAAAATAATCTCAAGAGTTAAATAAAAAAGCAACAGTGTGATTTTTTTTGTCTGATTAAGCGATCAGAATAATCAATAGAATAATCAATTACTAAAATAATTGTTAGCTGCAGCCCTAAACTCAAGATTCATGGATGTTTATTTGTGTTTACATGAGGGAGCACCGACTGCTTAGACTATAAAGTTCTAAAAACATTACAACTACGTTCATTATTGGTTCCTTTGATACAGAAACCTGATAAAACGAGACGGAGGATGAAGAAGTGTTTAGAGAGCTACGTCACGCCTGAGCACCTGGACCTAAATCCTTCCTGAGTGTTCGCTTCGTCATTGCTCTGATCACCCGGGACACCAGGTGGTGCCAGGCCCTAATCGGGTCAAACTACGGACAGGACAGAGTAAAATCACACACTGCTGTGACCGGTTTACATGACGGCCTTGCCTCTGCTCCCATGATGCTTAGATCAGCTGGAAACATTCACCTCAGAGATGTAGAGGTTTCCCTGCAGCCCCTTAGGGGGCGCTAGAAAACCGGATGTGTTTGACTCTTTGGTTTTCCTGAGGAATAAATCGATCCACTTTGGAAAAAGCAGCAGATGCTTCCACACTTTTTTAAAATGAGCTTTGTTTTTTTTTTCTTCTGCTTCTGATCTGGCCGTTGCTTATCTGCGGTTGAGTGTAGCGCCACTCTCTGGCGGGGAGTGTTGAATGCAGCTGAACCTTGCTGCATTTACAGTACTTCACCTTTAATTAAATGTGTCCCTGTTTTTTCTTTCCAGGAGCTGGAGAAGGCTCTTTCAGAGCAGGACCTGGACTTCCTCGGCGACCTCGTTGCCTGCTTGTTGCAAGGATGCTACCAGCGCACTGATATAAAGTGAGTGGAGAAGTTAATGATCAGCTGTTACATCATGCATTTTGAAAAACACGCTGCCATGGGGCCATGCTGGCTGTTTTTGTCAGAAATATGAGCAGAATTGGATAACAGCTGCATCCCGTGTATCATTTAAGAGTAAAAAACACTCATTTTTAACTCATTAATGCAATTATTCCACACATGAATCCCTCTAACTGGAGTTGTTTTTAATATTTCTTCTGACCTTTAGTTTTCTAAACAAACCCTTCTCTTTTAATTTTTTTTTTAAAATTATTTTAATTACTTCGGAATAAAATTTTAAAAGGGGTTTGTATAGGCTTATTATGTCGTCAATGCCATTCTGAGTGCTACTAAATCATAACATTTTAAAATATTCAATGTAATGTTTTATTAGTTGGTTGTATCAGAGACTCTGATAGCTGGAGATGTGTAATCAAGCGGCTGGATCGCAACAAAAATGTCACAGTTTCACTGAAAACCAGCTCTGTGTTAATGGAGCCTTAAAGTTCTGGAGTGGCCTAGTCAAAGTCTCGATGTAAGCATATTTTAAGATGTTGTGGCATAAACTTAAACATACCGCCTGTGTTGGAAAACGCTCCAAAGTGACCGAGTAAAACAGTTCAGCAAAGAAGAGTCGGCCAGAATTGATCCACACTGATGATAAAACCTCATTATTAGATAAAATGTTTCACATTTGGATAATTTTTTCTCTCTTTATAGATGAAATCATGATTTAAAAACTAGTTCTTGTATTTCCTGGTGCTATTTTTGGCTGATATTAAACGTAAAAACAGAAGAAATCTGTCAGAGGTCTTAACCTTTTCATGGTGTTTGTGTGTAAACAATCCGGCTCGCAGAAAACAACATATATACATTTAGATAAATTTGAATCATCATATGTAAATGTCACGTTATATTAGTCAGAGGTCTCAGGAAGCTCCACAGGAAGTCTGAGTCACCAGAGCAACAACAATGAGGTGTTAGGAGGATTTCTGCATGAACGCAGCGAAACCGCTGAAACCATTCTCTCTCCTATGTTCTCATGATGGGAGAAAGTGACTATAAGCAGAGGCTGGTATTCAAATCCAGATATTTTTAGCTACTCAGGGGGATTCCCCGTCTGTTATCCTCCTACTCCTCTCCATCGTTAGAAAGTAGCGTAACGCTCCAGAGCCGCGACAAGCGCTGAGGCAGGATCCAGTTTTTCCACCCAGGCAGCCGGCTACAGGAAGACAGGCGACTTTATTGGAGCAGACAGGCGCTGGCATCCTGGGGGCGGCCTTTCACAGAGCTGCCCTTTTCATCTGCATGCGCTAAACGCTCAGCTGCAGCTGGAGGGGCGCAGGGGCAGAAAGGAGGGACGGGGGCAGCCTGCAGCGGTGTGAAAAACGCACGCTGCTCTGTCAAGATAAGCCACTTTTTTCTGTTTGCAGTTGCATAGATGCTCAGATAAAACCCAGCCCAAGGACGGCGGAGGAGAAGTCCGGTTTATCTCTCATACTGACCCAGCGACAGAAACCCGACTCCCATGAAAAGTTTAACAGCGTGTCTGTGCATCCTCAAAAACCCTTACATTCATTTATCTGAAATTAACGTCTTAAAATGTTTTAAATTCATTAGAAAAAAACGCAAGTTGGTCTTAAATATGTTAATAACTGGTCTTAAAGTTATTAAGAACAAATACTTATTAACAATAACAACCTGGCAGGGAGGGAAGGACACATAGAAAGACCAAGCAGCATACATAACAATAAACATCAAACATTAGAAACACTGTTGACATCATAAAACAGTAAAAACAATACAGCAGAGGACAAAACTGACATTCCAATTTTAGCTGAAACATGTGCACCTTTCAGACGGCATCTTTTTAAAAATACCCTTAAAAGTTTCTACGGATGCTTTGATACTTTTTGGCTTCCTTCCAGTTGTTTGCTGTTTTGTCTGTAAATCTGACACACCAGCCACGTCTGCTAACAGCAGCAAAGAAGCTGCTTTTCTCAACCCATTTCTGCTTCTAAACGCTGGAAAAGACTGTGGTTGTGCTAAACGGAGAGAAACTGGATGAAGAGGAATGGATAGAAAAACTCTTTGTTCCAACCTGATGGTTGAAAAACCGATTAAAAGCAATAAATATCTTTGATGTTGAGATCATATGTCTGTTTATTCAATTAATTAGCAGCAATTGAAAGTATTGCTTATTTTTTGATTATGTAGTTTTCAACCAAAATGTGATTAATTACTTATCCTGCAAGTAACTTGGTTAACATTTTTTAATCAAGTCCACCAGTAGTTTTGTGCCTTCCTTGTTTTTAGTTTTTAATATTTTAAGTCTGAATATTAATAAAGACGAGGAACTCAAACATGCATCACATATAAATCATCACAAATTTGAAGAATATTATCTAATAGCTTAGATATTTCTGTAGAGTTGTTGGGCAGACTGTAACACAGCCTCTGTCGTGTTCAGCCCCCAGACGTTCAGCAGCTACCTGGATGACATCATCAGCTACAGGTGGGAGCTGGAGGAGGGGAAGCCCAACCCGCTGCGGGACGGGCCGTTCGACAGCCTCCACCCTCGCACTCAGGTGGAGCTGCTGCACAGGCTGTGCGACTACCGCCTGGATGCTGCAGACGTCTTCGACCTGCTGAAGGTCCGTTAAACGTGGAGTCATGTTGTGGCTTAAAAAGAAACGGCTTTCCTCGTTAACTTCAGTTTATCTAGCTTTTTTTTTAAATCTACGCCTGTGAGGTTTGCAGTTGGTCAGTTTGACATCAGGCAAATTCCAATGGATCTTTTTTTATATCTGAACTCGGGATCGATATTCAGATTTCAGACTCACTTTGTTTTGGTAAATTAACAACATTACAAAATAGAAAACAAAACAAACCAATAATTTGGTTAATAACAGGCTGCAGCCAAAGCTTGTACTTCCCTACCCTGTTCATAGACTCAGGAGCTGATAGTGATGAAATATATCTAAGATAATACTAAAAATATTAAGAAAGTAAGAAAATGTGATTTAAGAAATGTAAATGTTTTTATTGAAAATAATAAAATAACAACAAAGATAAATTAAAGATAAGAATATCAAAAGGTTTATTATAATTATTTTTCTCAGACAGACAATATGTAGAATGAAGAGTGCAAAATACAATCAATAACTCATGAAATAATTATTTAATGCCATTCATTTCTTGAAACTTGAAATAAATACAAAAATTGTTTATTTAATATTAAATTAATTACGTCTTAATTAAATGTATAGATTTCCTTTTTGAAAATCCACATGTAAGTATTTCATGATTTAATAAATGATTTCTTTATTTTCAGTTTTAAAAAATGAATAACACATTTAAGTAATTATTTCAGAAGTTATTTGTTTATTGGAATTTGGCACTCTTTGCTCTCCATAAAATTCACTCCTGTCTCTGTGGGATTAATAAATGGGTTCGTTCAAAGGACTGAATGGCATTAATCACTAACTGCTCAAAACATATGATTTGAATTTGGTCTCCTCCTGCAGGGGCTGGATGCAGACAGCCTGAGGGTGGAACCCCTGGGGCAAGATGGAGACGGCGCCCTCTACTGGTACTTCTATGGCACTCGTATGTACAAAGAGGAGCCACTGGACAGGAAAGCTGAGAGTCTCAGGTGAGATTAGATGTTAGCAATCAGGTTTCCGTTGGTTTAATGGGAGATGTTGAAGCGTGTAATTGGAACAGGACGTTAACACGTGTTTACAGGCTCGTTGAGCATCCAGGAGCTAATTAAACTCCTTAAAATGTTCTTCCAGTGAGTTTGATCTAACATTACCAGAGAGGAGGAGGAGAGGAAGACCGCCAAAGAAACGAAAGCTAGAAGACAATAATCTAAGGTAAATATGAACAGTATCATGTTCTACACACATGTAGCGCTGCTTTTTTTAAACTTTCGCAGCAGCTCTAAAGGCTGTTGGTCGTGTTTTTAGTCATTCTAAGACTCTCTTGTGTTTTTCCCTGAAGGAAAACCTTCACTGTGTCTGAAAATAATTCAAATTACTTGCCAGAAATCAATCCTATCATCAGCATTTATCCCAATAATTCAGATCAAAATCATGTAGCTTCATTCCACACAGACTAACTGGATTACAGTGAATGGAATCCATCCATCCATCCATCCATCCATCCATCCGTCCATCCACCCATCCATCCACCCACCCAACAATCCATTCATTCACCCATCCATCCATCCATCCATCCATCCATCCATCCATCCA